GGGGGGGGGGGCTTAAAAGAAGAGGTGCTCCATCAGCAAAGACTGGGAGGAAGAACATTCTAAGGGAAGGAAGACCATGGGCAAGACGGGAGAGAGTGGGGTGCAGGGAAGGAGTGAAGGAAGGAGAGAAGGTCAAGGTGGGTGAGGCATTAGGAGTGGGAGGCATGGGGGCGGGGAGCACTGAAGGGACCAGAGGGCGCCAGGCACCCGCGGCCGGGTGGGATGGGGCTGCACTCCGAGGGCAGCAGGGAGCTGCGGGAGGACTTGAGGCTGGGGGCCGACGGGATTTTATTTGTGTCTTAAGAAGACTGTTCTGGCCTTTTAGTGGAGAAGGAATTGGAGCGAGGCACAGTGGGAACAGAGCAACTAGGCACTGGGGCGTGCCCTCTGGGAGGCAGTGGCGACCTGGTCTGGGGACGTGGGAGGAGAGGACAGGACGTGAACACATTTGCGATAAGCTTTGCAGGCGAATCCGAAGGATGTGCTGTGGGACTGGCCATGGCTGAGGGAGAGGTCGCGCCTGGAGCAGGTGGGTGGGTGGCGTGACTCTGAGACATGGAGGACCACAGGAGAGCTCAGGGTTGGGAGGGTGCCGGTTGGGGTGCAAGTCTCTTCCTTCCCTTGGAATGTCCCTCCCCCCATCCTTTGCCAGATGGAGCCCCCTCTTCTTTTAAGCCTCAGCCTATATGCCTCCACCCTCCCTCAAAGACGCCTTCTCTGGCCATCCAAAGGGCTTTGGTGAAACATCCACAAAGAAACGTCAGTAGGCAGATGAATGTTAGAGGCTGGACCTCAGAAGACGTGGCCCAAGCGAAATATAGAGATTGGGGAGCAGGCAGAGCGCAGGTGGTGTCTGAGGCCCTAAGCCCCGGGGAGATGGGAGACAGAGAGGAGAAACCGGCAAAAGAGACAAAAAAAGGGCCTGAGCTGTTGGAAAGAGAAGTGGAGGAAGTTTGTGAGCAGGAAGGATGGAAGGGGACCCTCGGCAAGCAGGGGAGGGGAGGAGCACTGCCTCACCGTGACGGGAGGGGGGAGCTGGAGGACAAGCGTGCGGGCATGGGCGGGCTTGGCACTGGGCACACAAAGGGCATCCCGTTTGGGAAGGAGGCGAGGCCGTCGGCTGAGATCGTGGAGGGAGGAGGCTGGTAGCTCTGAGTGGAGAGAGAGGGTAGGAAATAGATGCTGGGGAGTGACAGCCGTGCACCCACCTGAAGATCAAGCAAAGCCAAGATCTGTGACCAGGAACTGAAAGTGATGTTTTAGACACCTGGTGACCCAGAATTCAGCACTGGACACAATTTTGAAAAGTATCTGGTCTGGTGCTGCTCTGGCCTTGCGAACGCGAATTAGCTGGTGCGCATGCCTCTGCCAAAGATTTCTGTGTCCTTTCTGCCAGCGCGAGTCACTGCATTTGATCCCACAGTATCTTCTGTATGGCAAACAATATGACCGAGAGGACTGCAGGGAGCAAAACTACAATGCTAGACGACACAGTGACATCAAAGTAAATTAAGAAGTTTTAGATCAACTGGTCTATGGGAAAATGGGATATGATTACCCAAAACACTTTCTCCTGACTGTATTCCCTGCGCCGGGCACTGTACAGCACATCCTCGTGATTAATAGTGTAATAACTGCAGGTTGTACTCTCATTGCTCTTCGCCTTTTGCCCATCCCTCACTCCCCTCCCATCCGGCGACCATGAAAGATAAAAATCGTATGAACCTGTCCACAGAGACGTGATTCGCGTGTGCGCCTGAGGGCAGAGCGCTGTGCATAAAATGAGGTTTGGCCCTGGCAGCTGTAACAGGGCTGGCGTTGCAGCCCCATGTCTGGGCTTCGGGCCTGGTTCTCACACTGCCCTGGGTTAGCTGTTCTCGCTCTTTGAGTCTCTGTCATGTTTGTGATAAGGTGGGAGTGTGGGGATCCCCATGAAGCTTCTCCAGTGCTCTAGCATAACTCCCTTCTCTTTCTTTCTTTGTGTGTAAAAGAGCTTAGGAAAGCCAACGTGAGGCCCTCAGCACGTCAAGGAGGTGTGGGTTACCGGCCCCCCCCCCAGAAAGGCAGTCTATGGATCTGATGGGGGGGGCTCCACTGGAGGCTGCAGGGGTTACCCTGGATAATGAAAGGTGAAGTGGAAGGAGCCAGAGCAGCCCGTTAACCAGAGGGTGGGGAAGGATGACAGGGGAGCCTTTGCTTGGAACCCCATGGCCCATCGCACCACGTGTGGCTCTGAGCAATCAGAGTAAGGGGCCCAGGCCATTGTCACTCCAAACTGGTAGGGAGGAGGCTGAGCACCCAGAGGGCTGTGTGTGCTCATGCGACAGTGTCAGAGCCAAGAAGGCAGCCAGCCTTGACCAGTCTGGATGGAAAACCAACGTGTGCACCCAGAAAGGCCTTTACAACCTATACATCAACCCTCATCTTCCTGTTTGAGGAACTCAATGGGTTTAATGGCACCTCCACCAAACCCAGACTCCTTTCCTTGGCCAACAGCACCTGGCACAATCTGACTTTGGTTCTACCATCGCAGCCACAGCGGCTCTCTCTGACACCCCAACATGCCGACTCTTTCCTGACGCGGTCCTCGTGCTCCCAGAAACACCCCTTTCCCAATCACCCTATTCCATGCCTTCCCAGCACTCACCATGACCTGTAAAAATCACACTAGTTATAGGTTTGGTTTTACCATGGTGGTGGTGGTCTATCACCTCATCTAGGTCCCAAAACCGGGCACCTTGTCTGTCTGATTCATTCCTAGAACATGTTAGGTGATTGATACGTTTTTGTTGAACGAATGGATGAATTCCTGCAGTCACTGAAATGTCACATAATGACAACCTGGCCACCGTGAGTTAACAAATAGACCATTTCAAATTAGGACCCTGGGGGCGTGTGAGAGCACTGTGCTGGCCAAATCCACACTTTAGGTTTATTAAGTTTATTACTGTAATTCTGAAATAAAGGTCACTGGACTATATGTCACCATATATATCTCGCTAAGGAACGGTGATATGCCAACCCAAAAACATCCCATGAAGCCAGTTACCTGGGAGATTTGTGGGAAGAGCATGACTGGGGTTCATGGGCTTTGGTTTGTGACCCGTATTTTTGCTGATTTTTGATGAATGAGCCTCAAAAGTGGCATCTGGGAAGCCAATGCAGCTCTGCTGGGGTCAGGTGGACCCTCCGAAGAGGAGGGGCAGGTCCCAACGCCACACAGGGACCTTCAAGCAAGATGGTCTACTTCCTGTGCGTTGTTAGCATGTCATCCGTCACAGGCCTCTTCCCGCCTAGAATTTAGTGGGGTCTTCGACCTTCCCTAGGAAGAGCACGGTCTGTGTGGCCTTGTGGATTATCAGCAGCAGGAAGGACCGATTGAAGACCATGCAGCGAGAGGAGCCATCCTTCGAGCGGATCGTGAGGTTGGTGGCAGTGGCTGCTGCGGCCTTGGTGCCCTCCTCGCTGACTTCCAGCACAGCCTTGTGGGCGGCCTGCCAAGGGGAAAGAAACAGGAACACTGTTTAAAAACTGAGCTTTTGATATTTTGCCTGGGAATGGGGACCCCCCTGCCGCCCTGAGAGGCGTGAGATTTGCCGCTGGGCAGCTGACCCTCAAGCATGGGGCTGAACGGTTACAAACGGAGCCTGGGAAGACCCAGGTTTGATTCCCAGTTCTGCCGCTTAGTGTTGCAAAAGTCATTTAGATGCCTCAAGCTTCACTGTCCAAATGGATAAAAGGGTGATGATAACTGTACGTGTCCCATCGGGTTATCGGGTTAATCGAAGGCGAGCCTGCGAAGTATGCGTGGCGGGTGCTGGCCGCCACCGCTGCGTGGGAGACGCGGTGAGGCACCGCCGAAGGCCGCGCCCCTGCTTGCGCTTCTGCACAAGAGACTCTTAGCCGGGGTTCATGTCCTGCTGAGCTTTGGGGTCCCGTGAACTCTCGGCAGCTGCAACCAGTTTTCACAGGTGCCCTGAGGTCCATTCCTCGTCATGTTCTCTTTTGCCCTCACCAAGGACATGCTCATTGATTTTAGAGAGAGAGGGAGGGGGAGAGAGTGTGAGAGAGACACCGATCGGCTGCCTCCATCTGCACCCCAAGCTGACTGAACCCACAACCTAGGTATGTGCCCTGACCGGGAATCAAACCCGCAAACTTTTGGTGTACAGGAGCCACCCGGCCAGCGCTGCTCATCATAGTCTTGTGGAATCTGTCAGTACTCCTTCCCTGGCCACCAATGACAGAGGTCCCCTTCAGTGGCCCAGGACCACTTCTGACCATTACAGTCTGTTATCAAAATAAATTTTAGGCCAGGGATCAGAAAGCCATAAGCAGACAGGGGTTAGAAGGTAACCCCAGTGAGATAAGAAGACCTCTTATAAGAGCATGGGGTCCATGGGGAGCCTGGAGGGTGCCCTCTGTCTACAAGGGGTGCTCATGGCTCAGCTCCAGCCAGCGGCCACTGTGTAGAGCTTTGGACAGACTATGTGGGAATTGGGCTCGATGATTTGTTTCAGGAGAATCAGAAATCTGAATTTTTAAGTCCAATATTCTACAGTTTAAAAGTCAGCTCTCTCTTCTCCTATCTCTCTCTCCCCCCCGCCCTTCTTTCCTTCTTACACTGCAGGCCAAGCACAACACATCAACAGGGTGCTCATGGCCCATAGGCAGCCACGTTGACCTCAGTGTGAGGACCTGGGCTCCAGGGAGGCGGGGGCGAATGCCAGGTGGCCACCTGCTTGTGTGCAGCAGGTGTCCAGATGCCCGGTTCCCAAAGGACTGTAGCTGAACCTTAGGGACACTTGTTTGAGGAGGGATAATGGGTGCTTGTGTGTCAGAGCTGTGATGGCCAAGAAGCAGCAGGCCTGGCAGGTGCGCCCCTGGATATGCCACAGAGAAGTCACTTTGCCTTCTGGGGACTCTGTTTCCATATCAATGAGACGAGGGAGCTCGGTGAGTCAGTCTCCACAGGCCCTTCCCACTCAGGCTTTCACGCAGCTATTCTCATGGACCAACTCACTTTGGAAACTTGCAGGAAGCCTTTCTTTGTGATCCCAGAAAAGTCAGCATTTTTGCCAAAGGCGTCCTGGATGCCCATCTTCGGGAGAATGGTTTCTAGGTCATAGGAGGTAGAAGTGGAAAACTTTGGAATGAACACTTCTATCCACCTGTGGGGAAGGGGAAAGGAAGAGGTGAGGTCACAGGCCCTGGGTCCCCATTTCTGTTTCTAGGTGGCATTTTAGGAGTCGCTTCTCCCACTCAGCACTGCTGGCTGCAGCTAATGAGTAGACACATCCCAGACAACCAGCCTAGGTTGCTTTGGAAGTAAGCCTCCTGGATGAGCAAGTCCAGCCCTGAAGAGGTATGAGATGAAAAATAGGCCCCTAATGAAGTAGGGGACAGAGCAGAGATGGGGTTCAACAAGGGACCCAATGCCAGAGATCAACAAGAGGCACAGGATAGCGACGGAATCGAGGCTACCTCCCTGGACTAGAGTGCCACCCACCAACCCTCCTTGAGACAAACCCTGCCAATCTCTGAGAGCAGCAAAGCCCAATAGAACTTTCTACAAAGTCGGAAATATTCTCTACCTGTGATGTCTAACATGGTAGCCACTAGTCACATGCAGCTATTGAGCAATTAAAATGTAGCTAGTGCCAACAAGGAACTAAAATTTTAATTTAATTTAGTTTTAATTAATTTACATTTAAATAACCATATGTGGCTGATGTCTGCTGTGTTAGCACAGCCCTGGAGTTTGGCACTTTTCCCCCTCTGTAAGAGTTTTCCAGAACCAAGAGTGAACGGCCCTCGTTTACTGAGCATTTACTGTGTGCCTGGCATTGTCTCAGGCACGGTCATTGACACTATCTCCACTTCAGTGACGGTAAAGCTTAGTTTTAGTGCTTTGCCCAGTCATGTGATTAATGAGCCACAGAAATATATGCACAAAAGTATTGGATGGACACTTTGGTCCTCATAGATGGGCTTCCTGTGACATCTAGCACAATGGGCTGCTCCCTCTTCCCTGTTTTGTGTCTTGCGCTGGCTTGGCTATCTTCATCTCTCTGCTCTGTCTCTTTACAGACAACCCCACTGCCAGCCTCCACGCTGGCTCCTCTGCCTCTGTCCGGCCCTGGTTGCAATCTAAGAAGGGAAGAAACCTGGGAAACATGCTACAGCGTCCCTCGATCCCCCACTTGACATCTTAGCTAGTGCTGTTTCCTTTACCAAATATGCCTTTTCCAAGCCTTTATGTCCCACCCATACCTTCAGGGCCTAGCTATACTTGTGGCTCAAATGCACCACCTCCTTGAAGGCTTCCACCAGCCCCAGCTGAAAGTGACCTCTCTCTGCTCAGAAGGTCCTCAGCCCTCTGCCTCCCTCCCCTGGGCACTGCTCTTTGTCCTGAATTACAGTTATCCCTGCTCCTGTGTTTTCTCTCCCCCTAGACGATGTCCACAATGCCAAGAAAATATTGCTAAGAGGTCATACATAGGACTTTGACGCTCCCTTTTATCTTATGGTTAACAGCCCTCTGGTACTCTCCTTAATTACGGAACTAATGATAATATTACTATTAGCTAACATCGAGCACCTGCTATCTCCCTGGCATCCTTCTGAGCACTTTATAAGTAGTACCTTGTTCTATCCTTTCAGCAGCCGGGGAGCTCAGTGATACGATTATCCTCTTTTTGTAGGTGGGCACCAATGCTGTGTGTGTTTGTCTGTTTTTGTGGAATCGTGCCATGGGGTTAAACGTCATAATGGCTGGTAGGGGAGGCTCTGCGAGCACAGAATAGCTACAGTGACATAAGAGTTTTACAGGGGCATGTCAGCTACATGGCCTTGGGTAATTCATTTCCCCTCTTGGAGCCTCTTTCCTTGCTGTGAGTGGGGGTGATAACACTCACCCATCAGGTGACTTCGAAGTTCAAGTAGGAACACTTATGCGCAGCACCCAGCTTCCCGCCCAGCATGCAGCTGGCGCTCACTTTGCAGGAGTTATTATTAAACGGCTGCTATCACAGTCTTTCCCCGGCCTTGGTCCTTGGATGTATATATACCATCCCCTGCCTTGGGCCCCAGCAAATTGACACAGGTGCCCACCTCTTCTGGAGTGAGTGGCTCCACTTCTTCAGTGTCCTGGATGACAAGGCCTGTTCCAGCTGCCTCATCTTGCCCTGGCCCGGGAGAACAAAGAGGGCCGCGGTGTCTCCACTGTAGTCCATCTGCAGCACAGAGCAGTTCAGCTCGGGATCCACCCCCAAAGCAAACTGCTCCACCTGGTGCATCATTGGGATGGTCACAGTGGCCTTGCCCACCATGAATGGGTATCTCTTACTTGTGTACTTGGGGTTGAAGGGCTTCTCCCACTTGGCTAGCACAAAGGGAGAAGAGAGGTCTTTAGTTACAGTGCAGTCAGCGAGGTGAAGACAGAAACAACAATAAAGTAAGGACCTCTGAACACTCTCTCCACCAATGGTTAAAATTAAACTTTTTTAGAACTTTGGAAATTAGCCAAATGCTTTCAGCAAACTGAGAAACAATTTATTAAAGAGAAACGGCTAAATTTTGGTAAGAACAGTCAGCTTTGTGGCATTTTAACTTGCCCTAGTTCCATTCCCCACATCCCAGCTGTGTAGTAGCCTTGAAAAATAATAGCTGCATTGGCTAGAAACCCAGCAACCTGACAGCCACTGAGGGAAAGAAATGGGGCTGGAACCTTTTCAAAGACTCACTCCCAAAGAATTCTCATTATTTGAGCTGTCTTATGCTTCCCTGGAAGGCATCACTTGCAAAGCTGTCTGTATTTGATCTGATTGGGAGCTCAACCAATGCAAAAGCCATTTCCGCGGGGAAAATTAATCAAAAAATAGCTACAGGCACTGATAAATTTTGCAGCTGCCCGAGGCAGTGGATAACAATGAACTAACCAAAAAGCTTAACAGGACAGGTTGGGGGTGACTGTGGAGGTAGCATCTGCAAAAATGACCAAGTAAGGACCTCTGCATATTTACCCTTTCATAAAGGCAACAAGAAAAACTGGCAGAAATGGTCAGAATCGGCTTTTTCAGAATTCTGGAAATTAACCAAAGGCTCACAGCAACCTGGGGAGAGCCTATTCAAGAAAAGTGGCTGAATCCTTATGAGAACAGTCAACTTTGTGGCATTTTAACTTGTGCTAGCCTCATTCCCCTCTCTCTAGCTCAGCAGTAGCTTTGAAAAATATCAGACTGTATCCCCAACACCAGAGGGAGAGGAAGAGATCTGAAGTAATTTCAAAGCCTCGCTCTCAAAGAGTTATGATTACTTGACCTGTCTGATAGTTTCCTGGAAGACCTCACTTACAGGGTTGATTGGAGCTCACTCAGTGCTACAAGCATTTCTCCCCCAGGGTCAGGGAGTATTTGTTAGGAACAATCATAAGCAAGTGTTTTAGCTTCACGGTTGCCTGGATGAGGATAACAGGTGACTAATAACAGACAATAGACTAATAAAAAAATTAAAAAGGAAAAGCTGAGGAAAAAGATGTCCATAGAGACTTTGGAAAGTTCCAGTATACCTTGGGCATTTAGATGTTGCATGCATATGTAATGCTACATGCATATTTGAAAAAAAATATGAGAAGGCTGTAAGATCTTACCTCTGGCTGACCTCGAAGGTCTGCATAAACAGAAACTGAGTGCTGAATCAGAGTTATAAGCTGCCTTGATGAGTGTTGATGGCATGCCCCACCATGCACACAAAGACCTTCTGCAAAGACTGGGGGATTTATTTGTCCCAGGCATTTAAGAAACCTCTGCCCAATCAGAGCAGACCATTTAAATAACCAAGAAGGGACTTCTGTGGCTGCCCGTGACAAAGTACAGACTTTAAAAATTAGTTCAGAAAAATTACCAAACAAACAAACAACTAGTGCAATAAGCAATAATCCTTGGGAAAGGGAAAGAATATGATTTTCAGAGCTGCCACATTACATTACTTTAAAAATCAAGCTTTTACAAAAAAATATTTGGCACAAAAAGAAACAAAGGATGGACTATACACAGGAAAAATAAACAATCTACTAATATCAGAAGTGAAAGAAGGAACACCACCACAGACCCTATGGGCATGAAGAGGAAAATAAAGGAATGCTATGAACAACTCTGTGCCCACAAAGTTGATAACTTAGATGAAATGGTCCAATTCCTTGAAAGACGCAATTTGCCAAAACTCACATAAGAACAGACAATGAATAGGCCTACATCTATTAAAGAAATTGACAATATTGAATAACTTTCCAAAACAAAAAACTTACAGGCTGTGATAAATTTTGCAGCTGCCTGAGGCAGTTGCAAAAAAGCACCAGGTCCAGATGGATTCACCAGTGAATTCCACCAAGTATTTAAAGAAGAAATTATATCAATTCTCTACAATCTCTTTCAAAGGAAAAAAAGCAGATAGAATACTTGCAAACTCATTCTATGAAGCCTGTATTACCCTAAAACCAGATAAAGACAGTTTAAGAAAAGATAACTACAGACCAATATCTCTCACATACATTGATGCAAAAATTCTTAACAAAGCATTAACAAATCAAATATGACAATGTATAGAAAGAATTATACACCATGACCAAATAGGGTTTACCCTAGGTTTGCAAGACTGGTTCAGCACTTGAAAATCAATTAATCCATCACATAAACAGGCTAAACAAGAAAAATGACATAATCATATCAGTTGACATTCAATAGTATTCTGTATTAGTTTCAGACATACAGCATAATGATTAGACAATCATGTACTTCACAGAGTGATCCTCTCAATGTTTCAAGTACCTACCTGGCACCACCATAGTTATTACAATTATTGACCATATTTCCTATGCTGTAATTTACATCTCTGTGATTATTCTGTGACTACCAATTTGTATTTCTTAATCCCTTCACCTCTTTCACCCAGCTCCCCAACCCTCCTTCCCTCTGGCAACCATCAGTCTGTTTCTTAACTCAGGTTGTCAGAAAGCTTTATGTCCCTCCTCAAAACCTTCAGAGGGCAGTGGGGCAGCTACTGGTGGCAAGAAATAAGGTCCTTTCTCCCAAGCTAATTTCTAGAAAAAAACTTTCCCAAGGGCTTACCCACCAAGCCCAATGTTAGCCCCTCAAGACACATAATCAGGCTGAACTGAATGAGCCCCAACTGTAATTGATAAACTAAAGCTAATAGAGGGAACATGAGATAGCCAAGGTCATTTAACCAGCTAGTTATAAAGCTAGTTCAGCTTAGGCTTCCCCCTGCTCCACCCTGCTGTCCAGGGTTTGTCTAGCTTGCTTATTTGACTAAGGGTGGGGAGAAACAGAACATTAAAATCAAAATCAACCTCTCAGAGCCTTACCTTTAAAGAAAATGTAGTTCACTAGAACCATGGCTGTCTGAGGTTCAAGGTCTTGAATTAAGTCTACAATCTTCCCTTTGGTCTCCTTCTCCACGTAGCTGTTGATTCTCCTCTGGGCAGAGAAGGTGTTGGAGAAATCGGTAGAAAAGACTTCCGACTCATACAGCCTCTTGACATTGTCCAAGAAACTTGTCTGCAGCTGCAGCTCCTTCTTGATGAAGAGGACACTCCCCATCCTCAGGTCCAGGTCTTTGCTGGGGACGCTGAGTGAGTGGACCAGATGCTGGAAGCCCTGCTGAATGGTGGACTCCGGCGTGTGTGTGAGGTTGAACCCCATGCTCTGAAGGATCTGGGTCTTGGTGGCTGAGCGGGCCCCGAGGGACAGCATGGCCAGGGAAGCAGAGACACTCAAGGGGCTGAAGAAGATGTTCTGACTAGGGGTCTTCAAAACCAGCCTCCGGTACAGGTGGAAGGCAAAGTTGGTGTTGCTGGAGGACACCTGGGAGGCAGGGATGCTCTTTGTGGAGGGCGGGCGCGGGGATCCTTTGCTGGGGGGACCGGGTGAGGACACACAATAAACTGGAGCACAGAGGCTGATAACTAAGAAAACGTGGTAAAAGGAAGATGCCATCTTGGAACGAAGTAAGTCTGCAAGAGAGGAAAGAACCATTGAGGGGAGGTAAACTGAGGGTCCGGCCCCTGAATCAGAGACCGTGTAACGCTCTGCACCGTTAGTTTTGAATGGGGACAAGCAGGATACTTAGCAGACTCCATGGACTGGAACCTCAGCCCTAAGAGGCGGGGGGAACGGGACAGGAGTGGGGGAGGGTGCAGAATCGGAGGCTCGCGCCGACCTGTGCAGGCTGGATTCCGGGCTGTGGACCCACTGGGATTGAAGCACAGGCCTGCCTCAGTCCCAGGGGAATTTTCAAGGACTATTCTGGTAACTACACGTGCCGTTCATTGCTCCACTCACCTTGCGCCCCTTGCAGTGCGCCGTATAGGAGCTCGGTAGATGCTGGTGCACCAGCCTGAGCTGGAAGAGCCTTTGCACCAGTGTCTGAACCAGGGCGGATGGGAACGAAGGAGGGAGGAATGTGGCGCTAAAACCCCCAGTTTCTCCTATTTGGTGAACCCTGTGATAAGCTGGGGTCTCCAGGAAGCCACATGGGAATGTGGGGTCTGCAGGGCATCTGTGATGGGCTGGGGGCTGCTGTGCTAGTGTGGGCAGTGATGACTGATCGCAGCACTTGATCTTGACCATCAACCCAAAGTCAGAGCCTAAGCAAAACCGTGTTTCCTCACAACCTTGGAGTAATAAATGGTGTTTAAAGAATGCAACCTTGTGCAATCACCTCCCTGTGTCACCTCCCTGAGTCTCACTGTCCCCATCTGTGGAAGAGGGTGGCTCTGAGGAAAGGGTGACAGTCTGCATAATGCCCAGCATGGCATCTGGCCCACAATGGGCATGGGAGGTGGGATGAAGGGACAGGCATGCCCCTGGATGTTCATAACTGTGAGAAGGGATCAAGTTGAAGGATGCCCTGGGGGAGAGAAATCACTGCTAGGCACAGGGATGGGCACACCACAGGGCACCAGGCGCCTGTACCCCTCTCTGGGAGGTGTGGGCGTGGTGGGGGCTCTCAGGGGCACCTGCTAACACCGGCTCTGCCTCCCAGAAGGCCCCACCTCCCTGTCAGCAGACATGGCCTTGCTGGAGGACATCTGACTCCACGCCCCAAATTGTGCTGAGTGGGGCACCTCGGCTGGGCAGGGTGGGGGGGTTGCCGGAACCAGTTGCCCCTGTGGGAGTCAGCTGGTAAATGTCACGATCCCATCATCCTCTCATGGCCTGGCCTCCATGGATCTCAGGCAAGTGGCTGATTCTCTCTGGGCCTCAGGGAGGTGGCCTCGAAGGGCTTCCTTCCTCGGAGTCTGGGCTCTATGGCCCCAAGAGCAGGTCCTTACACTCTCGAGGGAAAGCTCTGCACAACCTCCTTCAGTCAGCTCTCAGAGCCCAGCCTTCTTCCACACTGGGCCTCCCCCCATCCACACTCTGCCCTCCCTTCTTTCCCCCACATTCTCTCTCCCAGTCCCATGAAGCTCCTCTCTCTGCTGTGATGTGACTGTGCTCTGAGGATGTGCAGGATTCCTGCCAGTGGGATCTGCAATCAGGGTGACAGGGACATGATGTCCTCCCTGAGCCTGCCCTTCTCTGGGCACCTCCCTCCCAGCTGCCACCGCCTTCATTCCGCCTTCCATTGTCTCTCACCTGCTCCGTTCCTCACTCCCCTAGTCACCCATCTGCCTTGTGGACAGGGTGAGCTGTCCAGATGCAAATCTCATGTGTCACTCCCCTACTGAGATTCCTCAGTGGCTCCCCATTGACCTTGGGAGGAACGCCCAAGCACCTGGCACATCAGGTCCTTCTCCTCTGGGCCCCAGCTTACGTCCCCGGCTTTACCCCCAAGCAGCAGCTGCTCCAGTTTCCTGGAAAGGTTGCATTTGCTCAGTCCACCCACCTGCCCTGGTTTCATCTGCCTTCGTTCCAGCTTGAGTGTCAAGAGGCTTCACTTCATGCCAAACCCCTCCATGCCCCGGGTCTTTGCGCCCGTGATGAACATTTTCAGCAAGGCCCCTCAGGCAGGCAGCCTGGTTCCCTGCGAACTGCGGATCGCCAGTCGGTTTCCCGGCTGCCATAGCACTAATCAATCAATTCACTGCCCCACTGACGATGGGGAATATCTTAGCCTTTGCCGTTTCCTCATGATGGGCTCCTCACCCTTCCACGTATGCGCGTGCAGGCCCGCACATACACGCACACGCGCCCTTACACACGCACGCACCAGGAGACCTTGCCTCTTGCCTCCCATTAAAGAGAGCCCCTCAAAAAAGGAACTGCCCCGACCTCCTCCTCTAGAGACATAGCTCTACTTTCCCCAGCACCCCCCTTCATGCACCCCTTCTTCTCCAGCCAAGTCTCTGGGAACTTTAGACAGCGTCCTTTGCCCCATCTCAGGACCCTACACCTCTCTCTTCTGTATTTAACCCCCCCCCCTCCACTGGATCCTTGCCATTGGCTTTNAAGGCCCCTCAGGCAGGCAGCCTGGTTCCCTGCGAACTGCGGATCGCCAGTCGGTTTCCCGGCTGCCATAGCACTAATCAATCAATTCACTGCCCCACTGACGATGGGGAATATCTTAGCCTTTGCCGTTTCCTCATGATGGGCTCCTCACCCTTCCACGTATGCGCGTGCAGGCCCGCACATACACGCACACGCGCCCTTACACACACACGCACCAGGAGACCTTGCCTCTTGCCTCCCATTAAAGAGAGCCCCTCAAAAAAGGAACTGCCCCGACCTCCTCCTCTAGAGACATAGCTCTACTTTCCCCAGCACCCCCCTTCATGCACCCCTTCTTCTCCAGCCAAGTCTC